CCCCGGCAGGGCATGAGGCCCACCTGAGCACCAAAAAACATGAGCTGCTCGGCACCTTGCACATCCACCTGACATTGGTGGAATTAATACAGGTGGGTGTGTGCGCACGCGTCACACGAATCGCAACTTGACAGGTTTCATCACCTTCACCATATCGGGATTGCTGCACGGACAGTCTTAAGAGTTGTTGCGGCATCCAGCGCAACCAATCACAACCAAGGTGTTGCTGCACACTCAATGCATTGGTTTCAACACGGCTGATGGCAGACCTTGATAAAGGACACATTTTTGAGTTCAAGGGAGTCCAGGGTGATGGCCAAGGTTCGCTCCCCACCCTTGCCAAGATTCAAGCCCCCTAAGGTGGATGGAGGGATGGCGGATGAGTGGAGCTAAGATCTCAGGTACTATGCATGCAACGCCAGCGTGAGGCGCCACCTACATTCTGAGGCAGTCACGGCATGTGCCAGCAGGACGTTTGTCTGAGTTCCACATGCGCGTTTAACGCTTCATGCGTGCGCTGTTGTATGATAGTGTGGGCACACCCTGGAGACAAGCTGGGCGCAAATACATGATGCTAACACCATGCAAACAAGCCAGATGCTCGCACCATAGTTGATGCCCCCATGCTGAGCCTCGACATTGCTTATTGCCTGGTCCTTGTGGCTGCCATCTGGAAGCCTGGGTATTGGAATGTAACACGTAAGCTTTGCTTGGCATGTGTGAACAGGAGGTCGTGTAAGGATGTCAGAACAAAGGGGAGCACCTCCTCACTCATCAACGTAGCGAGAGTTGCATGGCAGCAGTCCTAATGGTGCACCCGTGCGTGTTGACAAGGAGGCCTTCTTGCTAACAATTGGCGTATGAAGCCAAGGCAGTGGAACGAAGGTCGTGATTGCCGCTGGCAGCTTGCAACACATCGCGCCATGCAAGGCAGAGGCTGGCTGCATTGCATGCATGCACTTGCAGGGTGAGCCGTGTGCCTTGCTGCCTACTTAGCAGCCATTTCCACGCTGCCAGGTGCAAAGGATAGCGCCTTGTTGTGGACCGTCATGACAGGTGTCAGCTCGTTGGCAATGGCGTTGGCGTTCGCGAGCTATCAGGACCCGATTGAGGTCAAGATCATTGAAGGACCAAAATCCATCGCCAGCAACGAGGGGTGGTGAGCCAGATTGGCGCGCATCAGCTGGGTCAGCGGGTATGTGGTTGAACATACCAAGCTGCATGCATAATGCGCAGGTGCCAATCGACCTGCTGCTGCTGCTGGTTGTTATAAGCATAGCCTCGAGCTGGATGCTGCACTGCCACCTGCAGTACATGTATGCATGCGTACCATTCCACGCATTTACGGGCCCAGGCTCTGCCTTGCCCTGATCTGCACTTTGAGGCTGGGGCGGTTCCGCTGACAGTGCACCAGCCTGGTCTCACCTGTGCCATCTTGCGCTGGGGCTCGAAGCAGTGTACAGCGCCACCAGGGCGCGCCTGTGCCGCAAAAAACACTGCGTAGGAGCCGAAGTTACTGCGGCAAGGAGATATGTGCGGCAAACTTGTCGATCCAGCAACATGTGAGAGTAGGCATGGTGAGCTTTGCACACACCTGACCACTTGCACAGACACAACCTCCGCGCCTGCTGGGCCGCGTGTTCAAACACTCATCCAGAACTTGCTTGCTCCACGCACGTACCAGCCTGCGTCCACCACCGTTGACCCCGGCCTGATGTAGTCCATCATGTATGCAAGAGTATTGGGCGCAAATGGCTTTCCAGAGTACAGAACCTCCTTGCCCACATACTCGTCGTTCTTGAGAGCCAGCACAGTCAAGTTGTGGCCCTTGAAAGACACATTCCGCATTGCAACTGTGTGCGTGAAGCCCAGGGGACGATGTGAGTGGTGAGCAAACGGGGACCTGTCATCTTGAATAAAGCAGCAGGACATGTATGGCGAGAAGTACAACTTGCGGCATGCCAGTGCAGCGGAGTGGATTTTATGGTGGAGTGTCAGGGCAACCACAGGCAGGGTGTGGTGTTTGTGCCAGGGAGTGCAGTTGATCATCACTGGTCGGAATGCGTTGTTTTGTCGCCCCTGCAACTCGTCCCCATCCACGCATACACACGTTCGCCATTTATAGTGATGGGGCCGGTGGCAGGCTGCGCAGCCGCCCCATCCTTGGCAGGCTGTGCAGCGGGGCCAGCCAAAATGTTGGCAGGTTTGGTCAGCCTGCATGTTGTGTAGCAGAGAAGAATTGACCAGGTAAGGCATCAAACATGACAGCAGGCTGAATGAATGGCTATTGCAAGATTAATTGCCTCCAATAACTATCTGTGTGCACTGAGGCTGTACATGTACATGGGATCGACGGCATTGCCTCTTTTCCACAAACACGTGCCAGAATTGAAGCAGCCCACAGCCGGCATGATCAATGGTGGGAGTCATGCAGGTCTCTGCTCTCACATGCCCAACGCACCCCTGCAGCTGCGACCTGATAACAGCCATGTCGGTGGCGATGTGGTGAAGCGTGATGTTCTGCTGCACGGCGAACAAATGTATCCGCGTGGGATTTTTGGCGGATGTGATGGACAGTATGAGTTGAGATTGTTGAGCGTGGTCCAGGCTTAGAAATGATGGCGGGGTTGTGTCGGCAAGTCGGCAAGGCAGCAATGCAATATGCACCTGGAGACAACGCACATGACTAATTCACCACACACGTCTGCAGATCCAAGCGCTCACGTGCATAGCCTGCTCATGACGCTGCTTCTCAGCCAATCGTTGCGCATCAAGAAATCCGACCAGCCCGCTGGACAGGAGCATGACAAGCGCGGCGCCAGCCAACATGATGCATGGCCGATGGATTGCTGTCCCGCTGACAACGGGCAAGGGTGGCATCTTGGCGTTCGACATGCGTCAACAAGCCTCTGATTGAGGCAACGGCTGCTCTTCCTCTACTTGAGTTGTTCTCGTCAATATGTCAAAACGCTCCTGGACACTTGGCTGCGTTGCGCAACAGGAGAGTTTTCATGCGTCGGCGAGCAGCGTTGAGAGGCCAGCGAGTTTCATAGGACGACTGCACACCTCTGCGCTGTACGTCTCGCGTACCCGTGCAGTCGCGTTGCTTCCAATATTTTGACACCGTTGCAGCGCGCAGTGGCCCGCTATGTGTCCCGACTGCTCGAAACAGTATTCACATGTGGATTCAACTTTACCTGCAAGCAATATGCCGCGTTCACAGTCCCCGTTAAGGTTCTCAGGTTGGCGCCAGCCCTGCTACATGAGGTACTGTACTAGCTGCGATTACAAGGTATCAGGCCCTCATATGCTCACGTATGTGCCGAATATGATAGCGATGCTCCATTTTATCAGCATGGGTGCAGTAACACCCATCCATCAGCTGGTGGCTGCATGGCGCCTGACGGGGCTTGACTCGTGATAGCACGCAGGCCCATGCGCGCCTGCTACATCGTGGGTGGTTGTGCATCTGCGTGCCCACCTGGGCAACCCAACAAAGTTTTAACTCTCCGACTTGAGGTTTGAAGGCTTCACCCCAGCAGAATGGTGAGGTAGAGACCATACATGCATGTACAATGAGCCCATTGATTGTATGGTGTGATACAGTCTACAGCAGGGGGCATGACGCTCCTCCTCTCCCGGGGACAGGGGGAGAAGGGGACAGGGGTAGAAGGGGGCCCCCTGTCCCCTTCTCCCCCTGCCCCTTCCCCCTTT